AACTTGACAGTCTGCCTCTGTATGCAACCTAATATATTTTTTACAATTTCCAGGAAGGTGTCTATGTTGGTCTGTTGCAGCAAAAACATTACAAAATGTTGTTGCCTATAATGATTACTGAATTAATTATGCATAGGTTTTTGTAAACTAAGTTCACATCCTCAAATGGAGAGTGTGTGTGTGTGTGTGTGTATACACTCTTCTGTTGTTTTGAAAATAGTTGCTATTGATAAAAAAAATATTCTCGTCTCACTTCTATTTCACTGCCTTATATTTTCGCTTGTTATTACTCCTCTTTAACCCCTGGTATATTCAGTATTTAACTATTAATCTGATGAAATGTTCTGTTGTCCAAGAAAATATATGACATAAACATTTATTTCTTTTCTAAGTATTACATGACAGTTTATTTTATTGGGGACCCAAAGGGGGAGAACCACACTGAAGATGGTTACTGAATTGATAGCAAATCCCACCTTGCCCCCCCCTCTCAATTTGTTGCTTCCCCTGACCCAACTTTTAATCTCATGTTCCTGATTTTCATTATTTATTTCATTGTTTATTTTATACTTTTATTATCTTGCTACTGTTATATTTACATTTCTTTTCATTTCTGGTTTTAAGCTGCCTAAAGTAACCCCATTTGTGAGATAAACAGCAAATAAATTTAAATATAAACAAATATTTCCCAGAACTCTTTAGTTCTATGTATATTTATTTGAGAATCTATACTGTGGCACTTCCTTTTTATGCTGTATATAAATTTCAGTATGGTGGAGAAGTTAGTTTGGAGTGGGTGTTATTTCCCCCTCCTCAAAATGTTTTAATTAAAGTATCTTCCTCTTTCAAGAGGACAGATATCATAACCACTCCTTAGTATATCCTAACAAGTATAAATGACATCAGTGTTTGATTTTAGAAGTACCGTTTAAACATGAATAAAATTTAGCTGGCAATTGCAGAATTCATGTAACATTGTTACTTAAAAGGAAATGCCAATCTTGCTGAATCTTAAACACAGCCCCAGTTGGGATATGTAATGAGCCTTGATTTTCTGCATGGCAGATTTTTCATGCCACAGCAACAACGATTCGATGCAACTTTACAAAATGTCAAACCTTTCCTCGCCCAGAAGTGTCGCCAGAGGAGGTTGGGGATGGGGATGGGGGTGAGAAGAAATCGAAATGGACAGAAAGTCTGCTTACCTTCCACCAGGGAGGTGAGTAAAGTGACATTTGCCGCTTTGCGCCTGCCGGCTGGTAAATTCAAACCAATTTTTTCTAGCCGCTCTCGCAACGATCGCCCCCCGTTTTTCGATTTGGCTCTGCAGTGACGAAAAAAGGAACGCGGGGATTTAAACCTCCGACGAATGTCCCCGGGAGAGAGAGGGGGGAGGGGGCTGAGAGGCACCAGAGTCCTGGCTTTGGGCACCAGGATTGGCGTGCAAGCAACGAGCACAGTGGAGGTTTCGTGGTGCCACAGGACGGGAAAGAAACGCCGCCCTTGGCAAGAGCTCGCTGGGCCCGTTGCAACCTGAACCCATGTTGTTTTTTGGGCTTTCAGCGACGCTCGGGTTTGCTGGCTGCAAGTGAACGAGGAGGGAGGGTTATGTCAGCTTGGGCCCTGCTATTACCAAGAACAAACTGGCTGTTCTTGGGAAGCTGCGTCACCAGCAGCATTTAGCCCTGCAATAAGGGTGGTGATTTGTGGTTGTTTCTATTGTAATTCTGCTTACTAAACATTCAAAAGAGGCTAAGAAGTACAAAGACTAGGATTGGAGCTGAAGAATGGCCTGGTGTGGAAAGGGAGATTATGCCATCACCCCCAGCAATATAGGGCACATTTGTGAAAGTATGTATTAATGGTGTGCAATAACAAAACCCGGTAGGTTTTCTGCATGCTTTTGTATAGGAAGTATTTTGTATAATAATAATAATAATTCCAGAGCAGCAACGTAATAATGCAAGGCAACAAATGCAACTTCAGAAATGAGGGTTTAGCACTGCCTGAAAAGATGCACTTCTATTGTAGCAGTTGCCTGACACAGTCAGGAAGGATTTCAAAGGCAACATGGCTATTAGGCCTTCATCAGGAGAGAAGTTTGGGCAGCAGGAAGTGCCTTTTAGGGTTCCATATATGTATTGTTTTTCAAATAATCATTACCCCCTTCCCCTCTGTTTGCATATTTTTATGGTAAATGAATGATATAATCACAAATATATGTAGGAGACCACTGGGGATGGGGGGAGCGGGGATGCATCAGCAATATATTTTGTTTTTGTGAAGAACTCATTTCCAAGGCAGGGATTCAATGAAATCTAGTGAGGTGGTCAGTGGTTGATCAATTTGGAAGCATAAGATTGACCATTGACTTGGCTGACCATTGCCTGTTAGCTACAGACAGGATCTCCACTAGCATCTTCTAGACTAGAGCAGTGGTTCTCAAAGGGTGGTCAGGGGTCCTCAAAGTCCAATATTTTAACATTCCCCAGTTTTAATTTCTAATAGTCAAAATCAATAGATACAATAGATTGGGGTCTTCACTGTGAGTTGTATTGTGTTGGGGTGGTGCACTGCAGGAGCTCAACCAATCTCATTGTACATATATTGTGCACCGACAAATAATTCTAATTCTAATCCTCATCGTTTTTAAGAATGTAAAGGGAGCTTAATGTTTATGAATCACAGATGAACACACACACACCCAGCCCTGTTCCAACCATCATTGGCCCAATGTAGCAGTTATGACAGGTTTTATATTGCCTGAGTGATGCCAGAAAAATACTAGAAGTCACTGGTGGGGAAATGATCGTAACCTTGCAAAACTAGGGTGATATGCTCATGCTCACAGCATGTAGATTTGCAAATGGTCCAAACAGTTAAGTAGCATAGCCCCAGGTATACTAGATAACATAGATTTGGAAATTTGTGATTAGAGTCTGGTTGTTTCTGCAAGACCTTACAGTTTTTCTAAAAATGGACGTGTTGATTTTAGGACAACCTTTTTCTGACCTTATGCCTTCAAATGCCACACTGAGAATTTCCAGCCAGTATATAAGAGCAAAGGCTTCTCTTATTATTGTTCTCAATGCTTGTTGGTCTTGGAGATAACTACTATCATGACTAATAGCCAAAGTATTGTGGTTGAGGTGCTGGATTTGGACCAGGGAGATTCAGTTTCACTAAGTGACTTGGGACCAATCAGTCCTTTAGCCCAACCTATGTAGCAGGTTGTTGTTGTTGTTTTGGAGAAAATGGAGGAAAGAGAGTTGTGTATACTATCTGAAGGAAATGTCTCTGGCTAATCTAATTGTATTATTGCTGCCAGGGGAGATAAGGTAGATGTTTGTTGTTTTTAGAAGTTTTGTTATATGACGGATTTTTGTAAAAAAAATTAAATATTCTAAGCCAACTGGAGTCACCTGTGTTTGGTTTTGCAGCAATATATGCTTGTTTAATAAAGAATAAAATTTCCAGGATAAAAATTTAAGAAATAAATATTTTTCTAATCTTTTCAAGCCACCCGTGCTAATAATCCTATGATAGATAATTCCATACTTCAGCTACGGTAGGCATTGTGAAAAGCAAATCAATTTTATTTCTGCTGCATATTCTATCATTCCACTATATTGATGATTCCAAGTTCTGGCATTCTGAGAAAGATAAAAGAATTCCTCTCTATCAATTTCTTTCCTATCATGTGTAATTTTATATTTCTGTTATATCTGCTTTACTCTCTTTTTTTTTAACCCAAGTTGATATTTCACAATAACGCTATTAGATCCTTCACTTATTCTGGTTCTCTTTTTCCAATATTTTCTCCAACATTACAATATGGTTTCGTGAAACTGAATGATAAGAACTATGCAGTTTTCAAAATATAATTGTATTAAAGATTGTCAGTGAACTGATATTGGACATTTTATTTTCAGAATCCTTCCCAATGAATGTCTATTCAGCCTTTTCACATTAAATTGATATTTTCTTTAAATTGTTCACCACAGAAACAGGACAGTATTCTTATTCTGATTTTCTATACAAAAATAATTTTCCTCACTCTCATGTGCATCACTATACCATTACTTACAAATGAATAACATTTTATAGTCATTTTTCCAGTTTAAAAATATCCATTCAGAGTTTTTATTAATCCCTTTTTGTTTTAATACCTTCATCAGTTTTGGGTCTTCTGGTTTGGTCACATATCTATAAGTTATTTTTAAACTAACTGGGAAGTACTAGTCCTAACTCATTGTTTACTCTTTTCCATTGTGGAACTGTTCATCCCTATTTTATCCATTCTTTTTGATGTTTAAGACAAATACTGTGTCTATGTTTACTCAAGGGCTTTTCATGAAAGACTTGCATTCTATAAGTCCCAATAATAACATTTTGCCAATAATGCTATCATTAAAACTAAGGGAGTGCTAAAATAATTAGGAACTTATTCCTTCTTCATAGTTTCCAATCATATTCATAAATTATTATAATAATTATGTAAAAGAAATAAATATTAGAAATTTATACTGCGAAGAGGAACAGAATTCTAAACAATTGCTTAAGACATTTCATGCATTTGAAACCTCATCTGCTCCTTTATTCTCCACTAATGCAATATTCCGAACTAAATGATAAATTATGAAATTCATAACGATTAATTATTTAAAACTGATTCAATTGTAACATTCAGTTAAAATTTTCCGACAATTTGCCGCATATCTTATAACAATATTCAGAAATGCAAACAGAAACAGCCCTAAAGTGAGGAAGAATGTAATGAAGCACATCCACCTCCATCTAAGGCAGATATACATCCAGTTGACCTAAGAGACTCCATTCACAACTCAGCTACCCTGGGTGAGCAGTAAAGATAGGGCATTCGTGAAAGAGCTTTTTTGCCATTTGTTACCTATATCTGCTTAACATCTAGGCAGCTCCAAGTGGGAATACTCTTGAAGCTGCAAGATACTTTAAAAGATAAACTCCAGGATATTGATCTGAACTCTAACATACAGAAATAACCAGATTATTTAAAGAAAGTGGCCAGTCTTACAGAATTAATGAACCATGTAACATGATTGGCCTAATATATTGGGTGCTAGTGGCAATGACCTCCAGACTGTTATGTATATCTCATATGCATTCACACTTAAACCTCAATGGCTACTTGTAGTAATCTTAATGCAGTTTTAATCCCATCAGAAAGTACAGATTGGCCTGCCTCATGACTTACCTTCTAAGGACACCGCCAAGGAGGGAAGCGTTTAAGCACTCAGGAGGTGAAAGGCGCCGTTGAACTTCTCCAACAGTGACTTTGTACTTGGATGTTGAACTGAGCAAGGAGAGCCTCCCAGGGACCGAACAAAACACTTCACCTGTGTTTACAGACACACCACCAAGGAAGCCATCTTTGTTCATCATCAGAGAAGTAACAGATTTTGGAGGAACTGGAACTAGGAAGAGAGGAAAGCAGTATGGGCAAGATCAGCTTGTCAAGACAGCCCACAAAGCTCATAATTGCATTCATCCTGAAGAGTTTCCTACTGGTTAATAAAAAGGATTTCAAACTATTTTTAGAGAAGTGGCTGTTATTCATTTCATGTTTCATTTATTTATATGTTGCCTCTCATGAAAACATCTTCAGGTATCATACAACATCAAAATAAATTCAGTACATTATTTAAAGAAATAGTTACAAATAGAAATACATTAAAAAGCAATTGCTGGTTTAGAATAGTAGAACAAAATCATCATGAGAAGTCAAATGATTAGAGAGTGTAAGCATTTTCCTTATGTGTTTAAAGTATACAGGTAGTTCTTGACTTATGATCACCATTACTAACCTTATTTTGCGACCTTTTTGCTGTAGTCATTAAGCAAATCACTCAGACAGATTCATTTTAATCCAGCTTCCCCTGTTAATTTTGCTTGTTGGAAGCCATTTGTCACCTGGCAAGGTGACAAATGGCATTCAAGTGACCCCAGAAGGCTGCAATCATTGTAAATAAATGCCAAAGGCCAGAATTTTGCAATGGAGATATTGTAATGATTGTAAGTGCAAGGACTGGTTCTAAGTCATTTTTTCAGTGATTTCATAACTTTAAACAGCTGTTAAGCAAGTGGTCATAAGTCAAGGACTACCTGTAATAAAAAAGACTAAAATGCTGATTTAGCTTTTTAATTCTCCCAGCAGACTAGATAACCTCAGAAAACATACATTTGGAAAAGTAATTTTCTCTTTATGTATGAGGGACCAAAGCACTTATTCTTATTGAAGACTTTACCTTACTCAGGAAGAACAGTATATAGGTAAAGTAGATGTGATCATGTTCTACTAATGTAATAGTATGTGGAAATGATCTTGGGAGACCAATAAAGAGATACTGTCTAGGGAGTAGTCAAATAAGAGAAAAGATAGCATGCATAGCGGGCAGAGCAAGCTCGGGGGGGGGGGGGGTCCCTAAATTATCAGGCTATAAAGTGATGGGGGGGATTTTTACTTCAGACTTACAAGATACCGTTAATGTAAAGGAGAATTAGCTTATCTGGTCATGTTTCTCATCTGGTCTGATAAAATTAATTCAGTAGCACTTGATAAGAAAAAAAAAAGAAAACTTATGATTTTGCCATGGAGAAATAGGGGAAATCACAGCGATGATGGGCCCCAGATTTAGATATTTATTTTTGCATTTTGAATTCCATGCTTGCATGTTTGAAATTAGCAGATGTGCATATACAGGCCCATACCCCACAGACTAAGTTACATACCATAACATTAAAAATATATGCTATGTTGTATATCTTAGTGGATTCTAACCTCTTGCATGTTTTTCTTATAGCAATCTTTTTAGCTTAACAGTGAAAGTAATGTATACTGTGGCCCTTTTATTAGTCATATTAGAATATATTCCATATATTAGAATATTGCAGAGAAAAGGTGATTCTGTTTTAAAAGTGTTTGCACTTTTTCAGCATCATGAATAATACTGTAGGCCAAATTGATCGATACTTTCCTCAGCAAATGCTGAGGAAACCCCATCTTTCAACTTATAACATAATTGCTAGTTTTTCTGTGCCAGAACTAACCTTAATTATATTGTATTTTTAATCAGACATTTGAATATATATATTTATCAGGCATGTACTTATTTATATTGCATCTGGTAATGTTTTCACAACATTACAAGTAATAAATAGAAAAACCATAAACATCTAGTTCACGACAAATAGCCCTCAACTTACAAACACAGTTTGGAGTGCAACTTCTGTCACTAAACAATGCAGACATTAAGTGAGACATATCCAATTTTACAACCTTTTTGCTGCAGAGGTTAAGTATATCATATGGTCATTTAGCAAATTCAACTTCCCCCATTGACTTTGCTTTTCGGAAGTCTCCTGTGAAGGTTGGAAATAGCAATCATGCGCTACAACCCTCATAAATACATGATGACTCAAATTTTGATCATATGACTGCAGGGATACTGAGTGCAAGGACCATTTTCCAACTCCATTGTAATTTCCAGCAGTCATTAAATGAATGGTCATAAGTTGAGGGGATACCTGTATTTTGCTTTAGACTATAATGTTCAGAACAAATGCAAAAAAGAAAAAAAAATTAAGATACTAAGCATTAAACTCAAAAGCTGTAATCGGTACAGTATAGTAGCTGAAGTGTTGCTCTTAGACCAGGAGAGCCATTTCAAGTTCACAAATAACCACAATGCATCCTGGGCAACTTCATTCTTTTTCAAATCAGTCCTCCTCAGAAGAGATTGTTTTTGTAGGAAAAAAATTAGGGGAAAACTTATTGTGCCTTGAGCTACCAGAGAAAAGTAAGGGTGCGAAATACTATTATTATTATCACAACAACAGAATTGTATCACAGCGGCCAGTTGTTTAGCGGGATTTGGCATTGATTACTAGTCGGGGCCCCACCCAGGGGCCTAGGACGTCGTAACGTATTTTCGTAATATGCGTGCAGATCCAAGCAGTGCGGCTTTTTGCATTTGACTGATGGTGATGATGATGATGATGATTATTATTATTATTATTACAATCCTGTCTAAATAGGGATCTCTGCTGATGATATTGGCTGTAAAGGTTAATGTGCACTGAAAAAAAAAACACATTTTGTTGTAAGCTGTTTATTATTCCACTAACAGGAAAAATAACCCAAAGAGCTTGTAATTTAAATTTGAGAAAGAGAATGACCCAGCTAGATCATTTTTCATTGAATACTGACTTAATATGCCTTAAAATATATATTTTTATTTAACAAACCAACAAAAGCCAATATATCTCCTTTGAAAACATACTTTTTTATGTATCTATTTAACTGGGAAGGAGAAGAAAGAGAATAAATTTAATTATACAAAATGAATAAAAACTGTTTGTGGCATATGTGAAATTGTAAAATATACTGTTCATACTCCTTAAGATCCTCTTGTTTTGTCAACATGTTTCTTGCAGGAACAATGGATGCTAAGACAATTACATTAAAACAAACGTATTTCTTCAAAGATGATTTAGATATAAAGCTGTATGTGGCCCTCTCCTTCCCCTTCAAAAAAGAACCCACCAAAAACAAATATAAGCAATTTGTTTCTGACGTGAATTTTATTTACAATTGAATTTTTAAAAACCCTATCATATTTGGGAGGTGTATGTATAGTTTAACAGCAAGTATGCCAATCAACCAACAAATCACTTTAATTTATATAAAGGCTCCCTGAATATCTCCACTCTCCTTATTTCTTTTTCTGCCAGTCATTGATAACAAAGTATTCAGTTCTTGGTATATTTGTGTATCTTTGGTAGAGTCCCAATCTATACAGAACAAAGACTTATTTAATTGGGACTATTGACTCTTAATAAACGAAATAATGAAAGTACTGTAAGATAAGTAGTCAAATATCTGCATACAAGAATCATCACCTCCTGGGTATTCATGCCAGAAGACAAAGTAATTTAAACATTATCAGATGCAAGTAGTGTGGAATAGCAGTACTAGGACCTCTAAGCACAAAATAAACTTTCTACTGTTTTATACAAATTCTATGTAATTACCATGACAGAAGCCCTCAATATACCCTGTGACAATTGCAGAAATCCCAGCTCTGAAAGAAATGTCCTAAATCTGAATTCAGTGTAAGCAAATGACCAAATGGGCCTTCTTCAAAGAAAATTGTTTCTGATGTTGGTTTTCTCATTGCTGTTGATTGTGATCTCATACTTAAGTAGATGAACTTTGAGTCTTCTAGGGTGAAACTTTGAAACTTCAGCAAATTCATTCTCCACCCTAAACTGTTTCCAGGCCAACCTCTCTGATCTCCACCAAGCATTCACTTTCAAATCAAGTTCTAGGAAAAGGCACCAATATCTACACAGGTAAGCTTTGTCCAGTTTCACTAACATATGGCAGAGGGAGTCATGGGATGAAGGACAAGGGAGCTCTCAAAATGCTTCTTGCAATCTCTCCTCCACTCTCTGTTCCTGTCAACTGGACTATTTTTATCCACCATCCTCAATACCATATTCTTCAATAGACCAGGGTAATGGGAATAGAAAGAAGTGTGAAATGAATAGGAGCTTCCTCAATGCCCCTGCTAAGTCCAGTCCTTTCTTTGCATCTGTTACCTGCCAGTCAGGCTATTTCAGGACACGGGTGCAGCACTAAACCTATGTTCAGAAATAGCCCAACTGCCAGATAACTCCTTGGTAAGGAAGGAGAAGCAAGACAGGAAGAAGAAGGATCACTGAAGGTACAATCCATAGCATGAAAGCACGGTCTTCAACTAATGTTGGAAAGCAAAGGTGATAGTGGCAATGAGTGACCAATGACTCCAATTCTGATATTGTGCCTAGCTGCATCCTGATGGAGCCAAGCAATGGCTAAAAATATTTCTGGAATTAGGCAACAGGTTGCTACATAGAGTTGGAATACAATGCGTAAAATGGTTCCCGCATATCAAGAACAGAAGTAATTGCCGTTTGTTACAGAAAGAGGGATAGGAACCAAGATCGGACCAGGGAGATTCAATGGTTAATTAACAGGTCATAGTAATAGGTATAGCAGTCTTCCATGAGTCTTTGGAGTTTTTTTTTAAAAAATAATAAAAACTGTAGTTTTATGAAACTTTTTGGGAAGAGGCAGTTGAAAACTTATAATGTACTTAGGATGGCAGAAATGGCAACATGCACTTGGCAGAAATTAGCTTCTTTCACATCTTAAATTGACCACCTGAACATTATGGAACTAGTAATATCCTTTCTGAACAGCAGGATTGGTAGCCTGTGCCTGACCTGTCAAAGTGGTTGCTGAAATATGGCTTTTGCTGTGGTTTTAATCCCTAGTCAATGTATTCTGAATTGTGGCAGTCCTGGCCAAAGTTCTTGGAAACTGTGAAAGGTCATATTTGATTAAATATTCAGAACACTAGCAGACTAGATG